CGCTGTGTCTGGGGCCGACCGTCACTCACAGAAGCACTTTATTTCACTTGATCGAGTCTTGAAAACAAGCAAGAAATTTGAAATTTCTTCTCCTTCTTCCCCATCAAAACCATTTTACTCATTCTGGCCTTCCTTAAGATAACGTTCTGTGAACTGGTTTGTGAGAGAGGAGCTGCTGGTGTGGGCTGAAATGTAAAGTGTCATTTCTGCAAGAACTAGAAATGCAGAGTGATCTAATTATGTGCAGATATAACAAACTTCCTTTTCTTAAATTCTGCTAACTATTTTTTTGTTTTATAAGTTTTATAGTAAATAATTTGATTCTTATATTGGTCTGCAACATCCTCCTAGTAGCTAGTTATTAAAAGTCTGAATTAAAAAGCATGTGTGCATATAATTTCCAAACAGTTCTTAATATGAATCATTGACTCATAAAGAATGGTGGGTGGTAGTTAGTATTCTGGATACACTGGTGCTTAATTCATTTGATTTTAAGTTTCTAGCTTGTTTGTTCTTTTGTTATAGCATTTAAAAACATCTTGGCCTACTCCTCATTTTCCTTAATGGAACTAAGTCATAGGGCTGTAAGCTGCATGACTTTCTTAACAGCATATTTAATATGATTCTGTTATCCCTGGCTAGTCAAATTGGCATATGGCCTTAAAATAAAATTAGGTGTAATTCATTATTACATTAATTATTGAGATTTTTCCCAGCTACTTCTGAAAGGAATGTAAGTCCAAAGATTAGGAGAGAAACATTAATCAAGTTATTTCATTATTGTTTTTTGTTAATTCATCAGAGAATTAACACAGTAGGAGACCAAGACTGAAAATATTGCAGCTGCTTAAAGTGGATTTATTCAATTATGTTTAAGTAACTCTAGTGGTAAATGGGTCACATTTCCTCTCTCTTTTTGTGAATTTCCACTGCCTCACATAAATGACAAACAGCATCTTTTCAGCATCTCAGCATTTTGTATGGGATATGTATGGGTCTGTGTAGTATTCTGAATTACATTATGGTTCTTGAAAATTTCTGGGTCACTCACACTACTGACACAGTTGGTCACTAAAAAGGTAAAAGCTGTTGAACAAAACACAAACCATGACTGCAGTAGTAGTATCTTTCAGAGTGATTATTTATTTCTTAGATAATAATTAGTTTTGAATTTTGACCACAGAGTATGGGCTAGTTTTTCACAAAGAGAAGAGTAAAAATAATTCTGGCAGTGAAAAGTCAACAAATTATTTATAGAAATGAAAAGTCCTGGGCACCTTCTGGTTAACGGAAATTAACAGTGTCATTCTGAAATCCATGTGATTGGCTGTACTTGGTGAATTTCTTTCTGCAGCCTGTTTTGGGGCTTTTTTTTAGTGATATTATGGAATTTGATCTAGTCCTTATGGAAGACTGCATTGTGCATGTATAAGTAAAGTAATGTATAAGGTTACCAAATGTTTCTAGAGTGCAGATTTTACAAATAACCCATCATGTTTTTGAGCTGTGGGAAGGGGAAAAAGATCAGTGATAAATAAAGAAGTTACAGAGTATAATATGCAATCCATAACAAGCCTCAAACAGGTCACATTATGATACCAAATGTTTCTGTGTCATTTGAGGACAGATGATAAATTATTTCTTTGTTCTTTCTTTATAGAGCAATAGATGATAGTGTTTAATTTGGAGATGAGTTCCGTGTGTATAAATTATGGCATCTTTATTTATCATCATATTATTTCATCCTTCATTCTGTTTTAGAGCTGATATAGTGCTGTCATATGTGGTCAAGGATATTTGTTTGATAAGCAATCCCTATGAATATATATATATATGTTATCTACACAGGTTTTCCAAAATCTTAATTTCAAAACTCATTTTAATGTTTTGTCCTTCCAGGCTTCTTGGCTATCACTTACAGCAATAACATTTATGGATATCCCTGTTAGTAACACAAATATTCCATCTAGACGTTTACAGTATATAGATTAGAGAGTGCCTGCTGTACATACCAAGAGCCTAACTAAAACTCTTTTCTTATATTCTTAAATTTCATGCAGGAAAAAGAGGTAATGAGATGCTGCAGTGACCTTATTATTTCTTCCTTTTGTTAAGTGATTAATTTTTCTTTTTTATAGATTGATAGAGTGAAATATAAATTAATATACTTTACTGCTTTACTTTTTTAAGCATTTAGTTCATTTCAAAGTGAGAACTGTCCTATATTGGTATGACCTTTTGAGAGATCTCATAGCAGTAATATTGATCAGTGACACAAGTTTTGGCAATAATGCAGAGAAGCAGCCAGAATCTCAGCTGAAGTCTGTATAAATCTCATCTGTCTCTCTGTTGGAGTGATGCTGATGTTGCAATACTTATGCAAAATGGGAAAGAACTTGGCTGCTTTCATGTCTCTAAATTTAGTGTGTGGGTGGGCCAGGACAGTGAAGAGTTTATAACATCTCTGTGTATTAATAAATCCATTTTGTGTGTGAACTTCTGTAAACCTTTCGTTATGCATTAGAAATGCTGCTGTGCTACTGACAGTAAGTGTCAGTAGCAAGAAAGACTCCAAGAAGACCTAATACACTTATTTCCTGTAACATTCAAGCCACTGTAATTATGGGTCGTTTGCCTGGCTTCTTTGGTAATTAAGAGTTTTAATTGTTTCTAGTTCCAGAGAATTAGTTAAGCTTTTCATTATGCATATTGCCTTCCATAATCATCGGTTCCTCTCCTATGGTAAGCTTAGTGACATCATGGAAGTCAATTAGGTCTTTTAAGGCAGAGCAGTGAAATACATTCCTTTGTATGGGCTAGATCAGAAAAGGTTTCAGAACGGCCTTGGTAATGCTCTTCTGTGCAACATTTAAGCTTACTCTTCAAAAACCTAAGCCTGTCAGAATTTCATTTACTGTCATCAGAGTGCTTAAGGTCATGAACTAAGATATTGTTAAGAACAAAACCTATAGGCAGAACCATGCTTTCTTTCTGAAAGCAATTGTACCAAACTTTCCACGATCAACTGGAAAGTTTGGTACAATTGCAGTTAGTAATAGTGATAATGATCTACATTTGAAAATACTACATTGTTCAAACTGGAATGCAGTGACTTTATGAAGGAAATGAGCAGAAAAGAGATTGGTGTGATTCCTTTGTCTCTCTAAAAATCATTAATTAAGTTTTACTTTATTACATGCAAGGTAGAAAGCACCTCTTACTTTTCTCTTGACAGACTCCAAGTGATTGCTGACACGTTGAAAGGCAAGAATCAATATTTTAAAAAGAAAAGAAATAAAAGGAAAGGGTTCTTCATTCCTTTTTCCTCTTCCACAGGCTCTGATAGATGGGTATATATAGGGCAGACAGTTAATACATCTGGCAAAAATGTTTTCTTTGAACATAATGAAGTTTTTGCAAATTGCAGCTTGAATCTCTTAGTGCACAGGCAGAACAGACAAACATTATGCATCCCTTACTTTGTGCATTGAAATAATTCTATGTTGGAGAACTTAAGAGATGTTCATAGGATCATAGTATATCCAGAGTTGGAAGGAACCCACAAGGATCATCAAAGTCTAACTCCTGGTCCGGTACAGGACAGCCCCAGGAATCACATAATGTTCCTGAGAGCACTGTCCAAATGCTGTCAGGCTTGGTGCCATGACCACTTCCCTGGGGAGCCTGTTCCAGTGCCCAGCCACCCTCTGGATGAAGAACCTTTTTCTAATATCCAACCTAAACCTCCCCTGACACAACTTTGGGCCATTCCCTCAGGTCCTGTCACTGATCACCACAGAGAAGAGATCAGTGCCAGCACTTCCTCACATGAGGAAGCTGTAGACTGCTATGAGGTCTCCCCTCAGTCCCCTCTTCTCTGTGGTAGGGCTGAGTTGCACTGCCTTGTGATTACTAGATGTGGGGAAAATTGCCCTAACCATCCCAACACCTGTTTTCAATTACTGAAATTATTTGTGGCAGTGATTTTGGCATTAGTAGCAGTAGCAGTGCTAATAATATTGATAATAAATGCAGTATGAATTGCGGAGACCATGTGTCAGTATAGGTCATAATTTTTTGGATTGTTGAATACCAAAAGCTGCTTTGGGTTGTCCATAACCAAAAATTCAAACTGAATACTATGTAATGGCAGGAAGAGATGTTTCATTATATAAATTCTGGAATGAACTCCAGAAGTGTTATCTTTTATTATATAAAATTTCAGAACATATGATTTTAATATATTTATCTTATATATTTATTATTCAATATTCTGAATTTAAATTACAAAATCTACATAAATAATGTATGATTATTTTTAAAAACTTTGCTTCCAAACTGCAATCTTTAATGATTGTGACTGGTGTGAGGCATGGTACTTCTACCTGACTAAACTGTCTCTTCTCTAAATCTAACCTTGCAATCTAAGATTTTCTTTCTCATCATTGCTTTGGAAGAATTAAGCAAATAGAGCATGACTTTGACAGCACTCCTCTGATAAGTGATTTTTCTCTTACTCTCCACTCATACAAAGTCCTACTATTGACCTAGGTAGTGGTCTTCCCCATCTTGTGTATGTAGGAAATGCCACACCTGTAAGTGAAAGTACTGCTTTTGCCATTTTGTAAAGTTGGTTTGGAAAAGTTAAATTGCCTGCTTATAAAGGTATTTAAGCAGTTGCTTAACTTTACTTTAAGCTTCTGATTAAACTCATCCCTATAAAAAACAAAGCACTTAGGAACATCTGGATAACAAGTTTCTGGGATTTAAGTATGTCTGTTGATGTTTTTTGAATTTAAATTAATTAAAGGTTAATTACCATGCAGATGTTTAAATTGAGACATTTACCCTTGTTCTGATTAGGAGTGTCTAACCTAGTAATGGAATTCAGTTTTTCTACTAAGTTTCATTTGGGATCATTCTTTCTTTTAAAACAAACTATTTAAAGTTCACAGTAACATTATTCTTTATTTTTTTCCCCTGACCTCCTTGCTTCTCAGTGTCTTGTGTTTGAAGATGCACCACTTGGAGTCAAAGGAGCCCTGGCAGCAGGAATGCAAGTGGTTATGATTCCAGATGAAAATTTAAATCCAGATCTTAAAAAGGAGGCAACACTGCTGCTGAAGTCCATGGAAGATTTCAAACCAGAATTGTTTGGTTTACCAGCATATGATTAAAGCCTATGAGCATGCACTTGACTGCAGATGGATTAAAAGTGACATGAAATTTTATTTTGGTTTTGTGATTGTTTTTCATCTTTTACTCTCTTCGTCAAAACTAGAGCACAGAAATCCCATTAACACCAAGTATTCTACACAGTACTTTTGGAAAATTGTCTGGAATGTTTATGATTTGTCCTCTTGATAAATGCTAAATTAAAGCCGCACCTCCCTGTGAAGTGAGTCCAGTCTTGTTCTCTGCACACCATAATGCTTTCTGGGAATATTATGAAACTATTTAGGCAATTTATTGTAATTGCATTGGAAGCTTCTGGTTCTGTTTCCACTTGAATGACTTACTGTTTAGATCTTAACCAGAAATCTGTTCTAGATTGGCTTTTATCCCATTACCTTGTTTTTGATAGTTATTGCTATCAACATGTTTATCCATTTCCTCATCCTGTACTTGTCCATCTATTCCCCTTGTATTGTGTTGTCTTTTTATTTTTTTCCCCACCTCTTTGCAGGGATTTTTTTGTACTTTCTGTGCTTTTTTATTATGTTTTCTTCTTGGAGATTGAATGAGATGACTTAAAACCTCCATTATTCTATAATTCTCTCATTATCCTTTCTGACGTGGTGATAGCTGGCTAGGAGGTTTACAAGCTTATATGATCTTAGAAGTTAACCAAAATGTTTTGCATCTTGTTCCTTTCGTTTCCTTCTGATTATTTCATTCTTATGAAATTAATGCTTCCTGTCTCTATGCTTCAACTCTATGACCTTAACTCCTTTGTATCCAAATAGCTTTTTGTAGGCTATCCTTACTTTTCCATTCTTACCTCCTTTTTTTTTTTTTTTTTGCCAATTTCTCTACAGAAAGCATTGCTATCTATTTTTAAAATGCAGGAATTGACAATTTGGCTTCAATAAATGCTTAAAATTTATTTTCCTGGCTACCATAATTTCCATAAAATGTTTATGTTGTCAAATGTCAGTACAAGGACAAGTGTCTCTTTAGAAAATGCTAGACATGTAGACAGGTTTTGGTGAAATTCACAACTACATGTATGACATAGTAGAAGCAATGTCTTTTACTTCGTCTAAAGAAAGCTATAGTATGTAGGGCTTATGACAGTTTTATAAAATGAATTATTGTATTCAGCATTTAAAAACCTAATGAGTATTCAGGAGGCACTCCAAAATCTTGATAAAATATCGAACTCCATAAAAACAAGAAACTTGAAATATGTCAAATCAGAGAATTTTGATCTTCCTCACAAAAATATTTTCTAGGCATTTCTGGTCTTTAACTGCTTTAGATTTAAGGGTGTTTTGTCAGGAACAAAAATTAATGAATCATAGACCCTTCAGTATTCATGGTGAGTTTCCTTAGATTTTATTCCTCCTGTATTTAAAAAACCCTCAAACTTTTACATCTTTTATGTTATTATTTTCTTTTACTGTGGTCTGTTTATACCTCAAAAATTAAGGAAATTTTATTCCATATGGTCAGTCCGTAAGTGGTACTGGAATCTTTTTAGTACATATAATATGATAGTTTGCAGTTAAACTTTTAATTCTAAGGATCTAGAAGCATTTTTTAAAAAAAAGGATGAATATCGATTCTATGTAAGTATTCTGCATATTATGTTGTTTCTTTAGGCCCATGGATATTGCAGTCATTGGTGTTTGTATAGTAAAAACAACCTGTCCCACACAACCTGAATTCCATTTCTGGTCTTCCCAGACAAGATAACAGAAATATCACTGTATAATTCTTCCTTTGACTGATGTTACATAACACAAAGTGTTACTGTAGAGCAGTAATTCTGAGCTTTCAAGTGTAAAACAGGTGCCTGTTGGGATGCCCTTCGTTCATAATTACTGAATTCCAACAGGGAAGTTACTAGGTAGAACAAGCTTTAATAAGCTAGAATTGGTAACATTTTCAAACTTTTACATATATTTAATTTAACTGGAGAGTTTTACAAAACATAAAAAATTAACCATTTCTCATTTATACTTTACTTTGAAGGAATTGTCATCAAAGTCTTGAATTTTCTTTTTAAAGATGTAGAGACATTAATAAATATATCACTGACAAAATCAGAATTACTTCATCATGACCACCATGGCGAGATCAGCATATCCTGCAATTCTAATTTAATAGCTTTATCTTTTGCTGAAAATTAATAGTCAGAAAAATATTGCTCCTTAACTCAACAGCAAATCCTATCCCATAAAATTACTCTTCCATTAATTTAGTATCCCACCTGAGAGTTGTCAGTGAGATTATGGCTCCAAACTGAAATCTGTGAACCTGAGCCATATGCTGTAACCTTCTCATCCTTTTAGTAAAATTTCCTTCTATATACTTTTTGGTGGTTGTTCACTGGCTTCCTGGTCCTGAGCTGAACCATTTAACTGTTATTGAAGTAATTTTAAGTGTTGTGGTTAGCTTTTCTCTTGACTGAATGAGAAATCAAAGCAGCACATAAAATTAAATTTTTCTACAGTAACCTTAAAAATCCTGTCATCTCCATCATGTGCAAGGTGGATATTGATGTCAGCAGCAGGTGACTGTAGCCTGCCTGATTAACCATATACCAAATATCAGCATATGTTTGTATATATTACTTTACCCACTTTTTGGTTGGATTTGTGGCTCTGTAGCTTGATCATCTCAACAACATCTGTTCAGAAAAGAAAAAAATAAAAAAGGATTAAAAACTTGGATTCCCTCCCTTCATTCCATCTGCTGCTTTCCACATGAAGTCCTGTTCTGACTGAACTGAAAAAAATCCATATCAGATCCTGGCTACAGCTCATGAGAACATGTGAGCAATCAGGACATTTGAATGCTCCATCTGTGTTTGTATGAAGAGGACTGTTAAAAACTAATCTGAAAAGTCTATTCTCTAACTTAGCAAGCAGACTTCAATCCCAATAAATATTTAACACATGCTTAATTCATTTTTATTAAGCAAAGAATAAGCACCAGCTTAATTTTAAGGATACATTTAATTTTATTTGGCTTAATGTAGAATATATGCTTCAGGCATATCCTGAGAAGAATTCCAACCTCCACAAAATACAGGCAAAAATTCATGACCAAGTTTTTACCATTGGAAAATAGGATAAGCGCAGCATGATGGACCTAAATTCAACCATGAAAATAAATTTTAGAAAAATGTTTAAAAGTTGGTGAGGTATGAACTATTGTACTGTAACTTAAACTCTTTTCAACCTCACAAGTGAATTAGGATTTACATTTTACTGGAACTTCAGTGGGATTAATCTTGGTAGAATTTCCATGTGGCAAAGATATACATAAATGGAGGTTTCATTGAATATATTCAGGTGAAAATTCATTGCCTTGGAACAGGATTAATTTCAAAATGTAGTCTGACTTCTGTGAAGCTTGGCATTTGCCTTCTACAAATAAAGCTCAGAAAAAGCTGAGATACTCATTCCTCATTCGGATTAGATGTCTTTCTAAAGAATGCTATACTTAAACGAAAGAAACCTCTGCCCAGAATCAAGCTCATGTTGCATATATTCCAAAAAAGCAGAAACCAAACTAGAAAAATATTGCGAGAAAATTCATAGTAAGACAAAATGAAATTATTTTCTACCACATTAAAATTCATGTGTATCTTTAACAGATAATACTTGAAATTTACTGCTTTCTTGCTAGCTCTAGATACTGATCATCCATACAGAGATCCACCTTTTTTTTTTCTTTTAATCTAGATAAATTTTGACACCAAAACCACTATGTAGGCACTCCATGGGCCATATGGAAAATTGATTTGCTTCTAATTTTTTAATATTAAAATGATGTTAAACAATACAAATTAGCAGCCTCTTTTTTTTTTTCAATTAATTTGTTTCCATTTATTTGTTTCTCATTTACTTACTTTGTATCTTCACTGAATTTACTGTGTTTTGACACTGAGAAGGTAGAACTGGGTTTTTGTCACATTAATGGAAATAAATGGAAATAGTGGAGTGGAGGAAAAGGAGCTCTCTCAGGAGACTTCTCTGTCCCAAGGGAAACATGACTATCAACACTTTATCTTAACCTTCCTTTTGGCTGACACTTCTAAACTGTGGATTTAATCACCGTATTAAAGTGAAGAACAAAAGAAGGATGGGAACTCAAACTAAAGCCTCTTCCAGAACTTCCAATGGCCAAGGAAGTTACCCCTGACATCAGGACTCACTAAATGTACCAGTGACTGTGTCTACACTGCCTGGTAGCTCACGGTAACAAAAAAAAAAAATTCTTTTAGAAGACGAGGGGTAGTATGAGAAATACTGGTGGTCTCTTCTGCTCTTCAGTCCTTCGAGTTATGGGCTCTAAGCCATCATATTCAAAATGTTAGGAGTTGGCTCGCTCTCATGATTAAAACAAGCCTCTGCAGAGAGAAAGCATTTCAGTTCTCACCCATCTCTTTATGGCATTTTCCCCAGAATATCTGCAATATGAAACTGGAACATGAAATGAAATGGTAATAGGACCATTATCTATATCCAAGGTTCCTTTGATTCAAAAAGCAGCTGAGAGGGCATTATTTGGTAGGGAAAAACAGAATGGTAGAAGCAAGGAGCTGGAGACAAGGAAGCAACCCGTGGTATAAACCATCTAAGACCAAGCAATCCAATGAAATGAAGGAAGAGGAAACAGTCAAGACTTACACTTGTCCATAGCAAAAATGTAAAAGCAGTAATTATGGAGGGAAATTTTTTTACATAAACAGAAGCAAAACCCAACTCAAAAATATATTCAAAGACACTGTGTTATGAGACACTGAGATTTCTAGAGACAAGATTCAACCCCTCTGGCAAGTAGAGCAATTTGCCTGTAGAAGGGGATATTGGAAATGGACTTTTGGCTGTCCATGATATCATGATTAATTTAAAAAAATGCATTATGATGGTGTTATTGACATTTCACAAAAAGCAGTAAGGCTATATAGCCAGCAACTCTTCTTCATTTAGAGAACTTCGGCAATTGGAGAACTGAGGCTAATTAAGTTCTTGTAAATTTGACAAAGCAGTTTCCACTGTGTCATCTCGATGTCTTGCTAGTAATTTAATTGATTACTACTACCTACATAGCTACAGTGTAGTCAATGTGTCTAATAGTAGCAGTATCTAATCCAAATCCCTGTATGACTGCAGGTAAAGCTGCTAATTTACACTCAAATGTGATAAAATAAAAAAGACAGGA